GTCTAGTCTAGTCTAGTCTAGTCTAGTCTAGTCTAGTCTAATTCTATCTGAAGATTTAAATATGGTAGGGATATAATCACAAATAATTCCCTTGGAGAATGACTAATCAAGAGTATACTTTCTTGGTGTGCTTTTTGTCATATAGAGAAGAATCTATACAAATAAAAATGTAAATGTTCGTTTGTTCAAAATCTTAAATCTCTGAAAGTTCTTCACCGATTGCTTTGAAATTTTGACACAACATTGCATTCGAATATGCACGTGTTTTATATACCTATATTATATAGATGTCACACCTGTGACAGGTAAAAACATGTTTTTTTGAAAACCAGTGCCATCTGGTGGACGTAAAAGCAACATGCTTTTATGTCCACCAGATGGCGCTGGAAACATTGAAATGGAATCATGAAATATTTAGTATAGTACGTGTTGCTTTTCCGTCGCCCAGATGGCGCTGGTTTTCAAAAAAAAGCATGTTTTTACAAAAAAAGCATGTTTTTACCTGTCACAAGTGTGACATCTATATAATATACGTATATAAAAACATTCACGTAGTCGAATGCAACGTTGTGTCAAAATTTCAAAGCATTCGGTGAAGAACTTTAGAAGATTAGCGATTTTGAACGAACAACCATTACATTTTTATTTATATAGATCAATAGTACACTGTCTATCTAATCTACTCTAGCAATGTTTCTTGATTTTTTTTTCATTTATTTTGTCTCTAGGCAGATACCTGAAAGCAGACGGGAAAAATAAAAAAACTGAGAAGTAAAAGAATTAAAGAAACATGTCTATAGGGCAAATATAATGAGTAATGTAATGTAGATCATGTTGCCTTCTATAAACTAGCTTGTTACCACTTCCCTTTTCACTGTTGTGATAAAAAAAATCCCTTGGAAACATACAAAGAGGTCAAACAAGTTTTTTCTATTGTTGCTTTCAGAAGCAAGACTAGAGAAGCCAAACAACAAAACACTGCAGTTACATTTCAGGTAACTACACTAAACTCAACTACATTAAAAGGTAGTGAAACTTACTTCAAGCAGTCTTCGAAGAAAATTTCTTGTAATGTATTTTTTTCTGCCAGAGAAGGCAACTCTGAAATAGCTGTTTAAAGTGTAAGTAATGAACTAAAATATAATCAAATTATCCTTTCTAGACATTTTACCTTGTCCTATTCTTTATAAAAAAAAAATTTATTAGGTGTACATGTTTTTTCATGTTTAGTTTTAAAATGGTTTTGAAAGACAGTGAAATTAAAATATTGTAAGGTGATGTGCAGTGTGGTTGTTATGAACATTGTATTCTCTGTTGCTTGTATAAAACATATACAAATGATACACAAATGTTTTCCAAGGGTCAACCTAACATGTTTTGTGTCAAACAAGCTTGCCAAACCCTTAAGTTTATAGAAGTGCAAGAAATCTATAGAAGGAAAAGAACCTTCCGGGTTTTATGCAAGAGAAGTTACTGTTTATGGCACTGTAAACTGTTGGTTTACATTTGGTAAAGTGAAACAATTCAAGCTACGTTATTCACAGAGGGTGAATAATAATCTATATACTGTAGATACAGTAATATAAAATGGGCATCAAAGCAGCAGGCAGCAGTCAAAGAATGGGCTGGGAATCCCAACATCTTTTTTCTGTGTCAGGAATCTTACTCACAAATTTCACAAAAATGGTAATCAAAAATGGTTGCCTGATTTCACATCATTTTAATGCAGAATATTGAGAACTGTAGTGTTTAACATGGTTAAAAATAAATGAAAATAAAAGCCCGCTTCCTTTCCCCCCAGAAGCATTATTAAATTGAAAAACACACATTTATTTGTGTGTTCCTTTGTCCCATCTATTTTTCATCATTGATGGAAATCTGTACTCCGTAAGAAGTTTTTAGTATGAGCCTCTGGTCAAAGACTGCCTACCCACTGATAGATAGTTACAAATCTTCCTTAGAAATATTTGTGAAGGGGAAACTTAGAAAGATATTGATTGGGGGTACTTTATTACCAAGAACTCTCCAAGATCAGTGGGGATGACAAAATTAACTGCATTAATGAGGGATACAAAAACTGTTGAGAAACCACTTTAGCTCAAAAAAGAGGGGGGGACTTTGATTTTGAGTTTTGATTATTAGAATAGAATAGAATAACAGAGTTGGAAGGGACCTTGAAGGTCTTCTAGTCCAACCCCCTGCTTAGGCAGGAAACCCTAAATAGGCCATTATTTTAGAAATTGATAGTATTTGTTATTTTAGATAAATAAAAAGTTGATATCACTATATTACCAAAAGAATTTGGAAGTTAATGCTTTTTGTTACCTTCTTTTCTTTATTTTTCCTCACTTTATCTACATTTTCCCTTTCCTTCACCTCCTTTCCTCTTTCCCTATTTTTTCATTGTCTTTATTTATGTTTTGTACTTTATATTAGAAAAAAGTTTTAGTAAAAAGCAGTTCCTCAAGAAATGTGAAAAGGTTTATGAATTTTTTCCCCAAAAAATTATTTATTCAATATATTTATTTGTTCAATTTCTATGGATGTCTACCTCAGACAATGAATACTATAATATTAATTTCCATAAAATACTGCTCCTCTTGATTTCTAGAGAGTAATCACCAGAAATAAAGGGGGAAAACACACAAATCAAAACACAAATAAAAAAAAATCTGTAATTACAACTATATCAAGTTCATCTGATTTTTGTATAGTCTTTAAAAGGAAAAAATGAGCCTGGAACAGCTTTAGAAGAGACAACCAGCACTCAAAACAAACTGGTTCCCAATCTAACTTTTTGAAGTAGAGATGTTATATCAGCATCCATAAAGCCTAATCACTATTCTGGAGCAGCTCCAGTTTCAGAAAAGATTTCAAATGCAACTCATGTAGAGTGTGTTGCAGTAGTCCAAGTGAGGGGCAATCAAGGCATATGTGAATGTGAGGAAGGTCTCCCACTCCAGGGAAGCTCATAATTATCCCTGTAGATGAAATTTTACAAGGGTGTTTTTGCTACAACTGCCAGCTGAGATTCACTTAAGAACCCCAAGTTTCTTCACATATAATTTTTATTAAATAAATTTTAAGAGTATAAAAACAATACAATTGTTGGAAAAAATATAAAGTTTAAAAGTAAATAAAAGTGCAAAAAATGGTGAAGAAAATAAAAAGTCACGACGAAGCTGCTTCTGATTTTCTTAACAGCAGCTAAGTGCATTTATACTTTACCTTCTCTCTCTAAGGTTACAATATAATTTTATATAGTCCATCCTTTCTAGTCATCAAACCCATAAATCACAAGTTCATATTTTTCTTTTTTCAGCAAAAAGTCCATAAGGGGTTTTCAATCACTAATAAATACGGTTCTTGCCCTTTCTTTAATCAGATAAATCAAGCTTTCTTTGCTAATTCTGTCATCTTCACCAGTTTTTCTTCCATTGTATATATTTCAGAGCCTTTCCATTTTTGTGCATATAATATTTTGCAGCAGGAATCCCAAGTTATAAACTAGTTTGTTACAGAAGGAATAATGCCTCATCTTATCCAGAATTAAAGTTACCTTTACAACAGTTATAAAGAGTTCTTCATGAAAAATTATTAAAGCATTATCAAACATTTTGAAAATAGTTTAAAATGTTGATTATGCAATTGAAAATATTATTCTTTTTTCTGTCCTATAACTGTAGATTTATGCTTCATGATCCAGAATGGAAAATATGGAGAGTGGATCTTCTCTGGACATGGGTGAAGTAATTAACATGAACGAACAGTGCGATGTATTTAAGGAGACTGAACTTTGGAAAGAAAATGTGGATTTAATAGAAAAGAGCAACTTAGGAAATACCATGTCCTCTTCCTATGAAATATCAGCTCCAACCAACCCAGAGACCAAATTGAGCCCTGGTAGCCTCATCAGGAGGCGGGGCTTGACTGGTAAGTTGCATCTACTGAATGTGGAGCATGATGGTGCTGACAATCCCCCATATCTATTTGACAGGCATGCTCCAAGTAGGATTTCTACTTCTCCAACCTTGCGGAGGCTAAGAAAAAATACATCATCAGTTTCTCAAATAGCTCAACTCCAGGACAATGCTGAGAACATAAGAACAGACAAGCAGATGCCACAAATCAGTGTTTTTCTTTCTATGCATCCAGAACTTCCTTCTCGCCCTCAGCACTGCTGTCTCCCATCATCCTCTGGCATTTACTCAAATACAGTGACCCAAGTACAACACTCTACATCAGTTAACCCCACAGCAAATCTACTAGATAACAATGATTTCAGTGATACTCAAACAGTGCAGCACAGTAGAGACAACAACCTTTCTCCAGAATGTGAGGGAAACGATTCTCAGCAATATAGCCAGGTAAGTGATTAAAAAAAAACTTTTCCTCTTTTCCAAATTAGCATACATTAAAAATGTTCTACTGAGAGTCTCATATAATAAATCATGTCATTATAATTCTTAGCTTGAAAAAGAATTTAGCACTGTTTGACAGCCTATTCCAGCTTGCCTCAACCTGATGTGCCATAAATATGTTGAAACGTGTCTTCTGTTTTCACTGGCTAGCATATTTTTTATAACTGAAGACTTGTAAAGGACACCAACTGGAACATCCTTATATAGTCATTTTCTAATTAAGTTTGCATTCTTAAATTAATTATTAAGCCTAAAATAATTAATTTAGGCTGAAAAGCCATCATTCAAATCAAATAATTTATATGCTAAGAAACACTTAAGATGGTGCTATCTTCAAACCTCATCAAACGCCATAGCCAATGTCAAGGAATGCTGGGAGTTGGCAGTAGAGTCTATAAGGCAATTTAGACTCTATTCACGTGTTAAGCAGTAGAGGGCTATTAATCATAATTAATTTGTTTTTAAATGAAAACTGTTTACCTAAATGGTTTGTAAAAATAAACATTTCCAAGAATCTAGGAATTTTGAATGTCATATTCATTTTCTGACATAGTTGTTCAGAGTAGGAAGCACAAGTCTAATTAAACATTTGTCATGCAGTATGGCTTATTAAATGGTCTGAATTCCAAAGATGTCAAATGCCATCTAAGCCTGAGTTTAAATGGGAAAATTATGGGGGAGTTTTGATTCCATCATGAAACATCCATGAACTGAACAGTCCTATGATTATGGGGGAAAAAATTGTAATAGCATTATCGGTTTTCTCAGCCTTGCTATTTATTAGTCAAAGATGATCAGAAGTGTTTTCTCCAATTGGTTCCAATGAAAGAGAAATTATTATGCTATCTGGGGTATTGATGTATTCTGCAATGCAAGCTGTGGCCCTTAAATATATTACTGGAAAACCTTGTTTTCCTTCTTGGTAGTGGTGGGATTAATGCCCATCACACTTCATTCATTTATTCATTTATATGTAAATATATAAATGAATAAACTTTTTTTCTAGTTGTGAATATGCTATCACACAGGCACTATTTACCAGTGCAACTCAATATACTCAATGTACTCCAATTAAGAGTAAGTTGGCAGCTTACTCTTAATTGGAGTATATTGTTATTTGAGCATAACATAGAAAGATGGTCAACAGAGATGGGTTGCTCTCGGTTTGGCCCAGTTCAGGTAAACCAGTAGTGGCGGCAGCGGGAGGCTCCTCCCACCCACCTGGATGCTTCGGTGCATGTGCAGAAGCATCACACATGAGCACAAGTGAATCAGTAGTGCCAGGTTTTGGAACCCACCTTTGATGGTCACCTATTGTGCTTGTGAGCCTCTTGAATCCAACTAGCTGGTTACAGAATGGTGGACTAAATACTATGTTCCTGGCCTGATTTTTAGGCCTTAGATCAGTGTTTCTCAACCTTGGCGGCTTTAAGTCCTGTGGACTTCAACTCCCAGAATCCCCCAGCCCGCACAGCTGGCTGGGGAATTCTGGAAGTTGAAGTCCACAGGACTTAAAGTCGCCAAGGTTGAGAAACACTGCTTTAGATGATCAACATTCCATTTTAGTTCTGAAATTCCATTATTCATGTGAAGCGCAGCCATTAGTTATAATAACTAACACTCAATGCCTTATTTTTTCAGGCCTTGGAGTTACATAAATCTAGTAGGTATGTATATACTTAATCTTGCTATTTTAACATCAACATAATATTCTCATGCTATTTCATGTTGAGAAGAAAGAGTGATATATTCACTGCATCTGACAAAATCATGTCTGTTTAAATATAGGTGGCCACATTGTAAATGTTCCACTGCTGAGTTGTTTAAACTTGCTCTTTTAACAACAGGTGCTTCATGTTTGCATATTAGTTCAGACATGCCCAGCTATATTTGTCTTTTCCTTTTGTACTGTTAGAAGTAGCTGCACAACTGCTTGAAATTCAACAAAGTTGAAACATCCCAAAGCAGAAAAGGCTACTACAATATATATTTCTTCAAGGTTTTTTTAACCCTTGAATTACCAAATTGAAAATCTATCTTTAATTCAGATGACCTTTTCCAACCTAATGCCTTTTGGATGTATTGGATTTCAGGTCTAAACAGATGGTCAATATTGAGGAAGGCTACTATAGCTATTCTGCACAAGGCATTACATGAAGTCCATGTTACAGATGCATCAAACATAGATTGATTCCTAAAATGTAAGATAATGTTAATGAACCTTAAAGGCCATCAAAAATTAATCAACCATGTTCGCTTATTTTACCTGTTAATGATAGAAGAACGAATAGATATTTCAAAGTAGATCAACAATTGTTATTTGATGTTTGCAAGTATAACTGTCTTGAAAAATAAAATTACCAATACTATTTACATTGCTAGGATCTATTCCTTACTTTCAGAACACCATAATCTCTCCTCCCTTCCTCTTTTGTTACATGTAGATAATATTGTTCAATTTTATAGCTTTTTTTTTCTATAAAAATATTATAACCAGGCTCATCCTATTAGGAAGAATGAAGTTGTTGGTACAAGGATGAGATTGCGTATGTCAGCAAACTATTCAGGTTTCCTTTTTCCTTTGTGATTGTTCTATTGTATTCAAAATATTTGATATATCTTTTCTCCTGAAGAGAGAACATATAACTTGGTTGAATAAAACCAGCCCTGAATTTGAGTAGGAAAAAAGTTTTCATTGACTAATATGATTTGGGTGATTTTCTTTGGCCTGATCTTGCAGAGATAAACATAACCATGTTCTCTGCAATTGACGGACATGATAACTTTCTCATATTTTGTGCAGAATAAATTAAAATATGCAAACTATACTGGCTATGCCAATCCTGTTGTTCTAGATTTATCAAACTCTTTGATTGATTCAATGATTTCTGGTAAAACCTAGAAGGGAGAACTATAATAAAACATGTTATGTAGCTTCTCAATTTTGAGTTTATCATAACCTCTTTGCAAATTAAAAAACACCATTATATAACAGGGATTGTAATATTTCCATATGGCTAAAGTGAAATATAACATATTCTTGTTTTCCTGAACAGTATTGGCAATAAAACAATTTACTGAGTTCTAAAATTATTTTCATTAAATAGTTCCTTAGGTCATTATTCATATCCTTATTGTTGCAATAGTAAAATAAGGTTCAGATTTTCAGAAACAGCACAAAATCTAAAAGATACATGTAAGTAAATCTTTGCATTTGAGTACAAAAGGTTTGTGTCAGTATTGCATCTAAGCTGATTCATTAGTTAGCCATATGGGTCTTTCCGACTCTTTCAAGCATATCACAAGGCAACCAGAAAATAGAAAACCATATTGACATGATACATTGCCATAAGCCATTATTTCTTAGCTTGCAAGGAGACTGCACAACAATAGGAACAAAATGCATGTATTGAATACAATATTAATGGTACCAGTATTTACTCGGTTAAAAAGTTGATATATTTGTGTTGGTAAAATACAAGATGAAAATCAATGCTAGTCAGCTTTATAATAAACTGAGATATAGTAGAACTGAGATGACATGGCTGCTGTATAATGGCTAAGATGAAATTGTTTAACCAACATTATTTTCTCTGCAAAGGTTCATCTAGGTCAGTTACCCCACAATGTTGATTGGATAAATGTCTATATATTGTTGTATGAGATTGCTTGTTTGTTTCAAACTATGAATGTTGGGAGCCTTGGGTAAACATGTAGTCAAGGAGTGCATTTTCTCCCTTCTTTAATAACAACTTTCTTGGAAGTAATTAAACATCCAGTTTTTGTTTTTCTTGTAAACTATACAGGTCAGCTGTTCGCAGGCACAGCTCAGTGGTAGTGAGTTTGCCTGGACTTGAGATGTTCCCTGGAGACTTGTTGATATCAGACAGTGCAGCACAATTCCTATACCAATCAGCATCACTCCAAAACTCAGGTCAGGGAGGGAAAAATGTGAATTGGGGTTTTAATTCAAAATAACTTCTGGGGTTTTTATACTGTTAAATGTAGCACTGCAACAGCAGTTTTATACCATTGGCTATGAAAACAGCACCAATCCCCATCAAAATGCTCTGTGCCCCAGACCTTGGTGGGAAAGAACATGATAAACTCTAAATGTGGATAACAAACCACGATTTCATGTTCATATATAAATATTATGCCCAGACAATGCCCACACAAAACCCCAACATAATCGTTCAAACTGAAGACCTGGTTTGTTCAGCATGCTAGGACAATGGTTTTGTTTCTAAAAAGATCCTAAATCACAACAAACATTGTTTGTTTAATACATTATAGCAATAGCAGTTAGACTTATATACCGCTTCATAGGGCATTCAGCCCTCTCTAAGCGGTTTACAGAGTCAGCATATCGCCCCCACAGTCTGGGTCCTCATTTCACCCACCTCGGAAGGATGGAAGGCTGAGTCAACCCTGAGCCTGTGAGATTAGAACTGCTGAACTGCAGATAACAGTCAGCTGAAGTGGCCTGCAGTACTGCACCCTAACCACTGCACCACCTCAGCTCTTAGACCAATCAAGGTTAGTTATCCCAACAAATTAAGGTATGAATGGAGTTAGGTTACCTCACAACACTTAAGTCCAGTCACCTATGTAGTTAGGAAGGTAAAAACAGTCCCTTGTTTTATTAAAGTGCTCTTTGCGGTTAAATTCATTATGTGAACAGTATGATCCAGTCAAAAGTAAGACAATTGCAAATGATTTTAAACACAAAAAACAGCACAATAAAATCAACACGAAACAAAAGAAGAGTTGAGGTGACATAATAACAAACCATGTGGAAAGAAAAGAAAACAATCCAAGTTAAAAGGATGTTTCAATCATCTTCATCAAAGGCCAGATGAAGAGCTAGGCTTTCAGGCCCCTTTGAAGGTCAGGGAGGAAAAACAGCAGGGTGGGATCTCTGGGGAACTTCATTCCAGAGGGCAGGCTCTGCAACAGAGAAAGGTCCTTCTGGAGTACTAATAGGTGGCATTGCTAAATTGAAGGGACTCAGAACACACCAACCCTGCCAGATCAGATACCATGGGACCGCCAGTCCTTCAAGTAATTAGGCCTTACGCCATGAAGGTCTTTGTAGGTAAGAGCCAGCATCTTGAATTGCACCAGAAGCAAATAGACAACCAGTCCAGCTTGCAAAGTAGAGGTGTTACATGGGTGTACTGTGGCAGGCCCATCAGTGCTTATTGTTGCTGCATTCTGGACTATTTGAAGCTTCCATATGGTCTTCAAGATGAGCCACATATTGCTGGCAGGAAAAACGTGCACACCAGATGAAGCTGTGCAAAGGCTTTCCTGATACACGACCCTTGAATGAAAAAGTGCCACCTTACCTGAAGTTAAAGTTGGAACATCCCCATAATTGAGTGGTCTAAACAACCACAGCCATTTGGTCATGATAGGATTGAGTCAGAAATGGTTTCTCTTGATTCAAACCTGTATAGGCTCTCTTGGTTGGATTAGAATCAAAAGATTTAACTGGGTATCATCAATATATTGATGATGCCAAACCACAAACTGATGGATGACCTCACCCAGAAATTTCAAGTTGATGTTGAAAAGGGGATAATAGAGAGTACTATCCTGCAACACCTCACATGTGAGTGGCCTAGGAAGCAATGTTTCTCCTTCAACCAATACATTGCCAGTTTTGTTCCCTTTTCCTACTCTTTTTCCTTCTTTTCCTGAACACTGTTGGTTGGCTAATTAGTGGAGAAGAGCCTGGTGATACAAGACCTCTCTATTAGGATTTTCTTGGTGTAACATTTCGTAGGATATCAGACATGATTCCTGGAGGATTGGAGCTGGGGAGGGAATGACTCAGTATTCTCAAAATGGCAACTTTTGATAAAGTTAGCTATGTGCTTCTAGAACATTTTAAGTTGATTTGAGCGGATTAGCCCTCTGGAATAATGTCCTCCCAAAAGGTTCAAATTTCTCTGATTCTGCTGTCCTTTAAATGGGCCATTAAGACCTGGTCTTTGCCCAAGGCCCTGGATCAACTGAGGTAACTATGTCATGTAAATAGGATCACAAGATCGTATTTTCTACAATATATATTTTTGTTACTTTTGTATTTTCTACAATATATATTTTTGTTAATGCTCTTCTTTTTCTTCCATGCAATAGAATCCAAAAGGACATGGTGGCCATTTGCTAAAAAAGGAATTGTGAGTATTTGCAAATTTTGCAGATTTCCCCCTTCACTCTCAGTTGATATTCTATACACTGAAAACCTGATGAAATTCTGAAACTCACTGTCACAATATCTGCCCTCTGGAATACTATTCCGAGAGGTTCATGTTTTCCTGACTCCACTGACTTTTTAATGGGAAGAAAGGAAGGAAGGAAGGAAGGAAGGAAGGAAGGAAGGAAGGAAGGAAGGA